GCGCGCGTTTGGGCGGCTCCAGCGCCTTTTGCAGAGCGCCCCGTCGAAGAGGCAGAACGGGCAGGGGCTGTTTTTAACCGCGGGGGGGCCTTTTTTGTGAGTGTAACTGATGTGCCGTGTTCCGGTGGGCTCGGGTGCTTTATTGCTCCGGTGTGTCCTTGACTCTGGGCCGTTAAACAGATCTGCTTTTGTTTATGGAAGGCTCCTGCTTAGGAAGGTGTTTAGTGGCCTTGCTCTTGGTTTGATGTATAAGCCATAAAATGGAAAGGCATGGTCTAAGTTTTGTGGAGCAGGAGCCCCCCTCCTGTGCTCCTTCATAACTGGTTAATGCCTTTTCTGTCCTTATTCTCTGAAACTTGCAGCCTGCTGTGGGCTGTCTGGGAGGTGAAGTTGACCCCCTTGCAGTAGTTTACCCCTGTGAAGCTGTAGTGTGATGGGAGAGCAAAACCTCTGGGATGCCTTTACTCCTGAAAGGTTGTCTGATCCTCTCTGAGGTCCTCTGCTGGCTGTGTAAGTGTGGTCAGTGTTGCTCCCAAGGTCGCCTGGGGAGGTTGGGGCTCATGTTGCATTACAATCCCAGATCCTTCCCTTTGGTATGTCGCTAAATCATGCGGTTGCAGGTTTAAGGCACCTCATCAGAGGCTGAATGTAATCCTGTGCCTGTTTGGGGGATGGTACCCCCTCAGACCAGGGCTGAGTTTAGGAAGAAGGCTTCTACTGACCTAGCAAACCCCAAAGCTCTGAAATGTCACCTCTTGAGTGAGGCATAGGTCTCAACCTTACTGCAGCTCTGTAACCTGCCGTGTCACATGATGTTGTGCTGTAAATCACCTTTGAGTCATCAGCTGGCATCTGTATGCCAATAAATAAGTTCATTAACCACACCTTGACTTCCCCTGATTATGGGGGTGGGGGAATTAGCAGGACAGCCTGGGCTGGTAAGCGTGTTGAGTCTAATTCTCCTGCTATACCTGTGCAGCTCCCTGGTGCCTGTAAGTGCTGCTGCAGAGCTTGGCTTGCCAATGTGTGGGTGCTGTGGGCTGTGCTGCCCTAGCTGTAGCCAAGAGTGGCTCCTACAAAAATAGAGCTGCAAAGCTCTATGTAATGCAAATCTGAGAAGGGGGTGCTCGGTTTGTGACATGCTGTAATTCAGAAATAGGCTGGGCAGCGGCAACCTTTTATTCCTGCTTGTATTGAAGAAAATGTCAAAACAATTGCTGCCCCACTGCTTCAGGAATGTGCCCTTAAGGAGTGTCACTGAAAATCTCCTGGCCCATTGCCACCTACACTGGGAAACTTTTGTGATATCCCTCTCCAGAAGCAAACACTTCCTCAGGCATCCTAGTTCTGGAGTTGGAGAAATATGGTGCATCTGAAGGCATAAATACTTCCCAGATAATAAACAACATACATTATGTAAAGCTTGATTACCCTGCAAAACAAAAAACCTAAGACAGTTAAGCTCCTTAGTGCTGCGTAGTTATAGGCTGAAAGTCTTTGCTACAGTATGGATGATCTCGGACCAGATTGCTCCTGTCAAAACCAAACCTCTCTTGTGCAGCTATGTCTTGTTTTCAGCTGTGCGCAGTGAGGTTTCGGTAGGCTGGAGCCAGGCTGGGAGATGAAATGGGAATGTACATGACAGAAGGGGCTTGGAGCAAACAGGAACCTGCTACGAATTGTACAAACGAGATCTGACTGTGCAGACAGGTTTAGGTAGTAGCCCTGTATCTCTTGCCCTCCTTTATGCAAGGTTGAAATAAAAATCCAGTTTAGGATGCAAAGCCTCTGTTTTGTAAATAAGTAGAAGAATGTCTGCGTGGTAGCTGTGACTGAGCTCAGAACATTGAGCTTGGCATGGGTTTTTACATCCTATTTAATATTGAAGTGAGGAGATGACGCAGCACTCTTGAACTCAAACTGCCAGGTTCTCAAGCTGCTGGGTTTTGATGCCCAACTGTTCAACCTGTCAAGATGCCTTGAAGCATGTGGAAATCTGGCAGTACATAAACAAGAAATAATCTGCCTCCCATGCTGGAATTCATCCATTGCTGTTATGGAGGTTTCAGATTACAGAGTCATTCAGAAGGAAGTCAGCAGTCAAGGGTGTACTGTTGATGTGTAAGATGTAAAGCAGGTCCATCTTATGCCCTTGTGCTTGGATTCTGCCTTGTCATTGGGCATGTTAAGTAACCTGGACAGCATCATGATTTTGTGTGACTTTGATAAAATATGAACTTGCACCTCTCAAAACACTTCTTCCATATGGCCATATTCTATCTTTCTTGGGTTTTGCTCCCTCTAGCTAAGCCACATTAATGGGGGGAAATGTGCAGCCTGATGTTTAGGTTCTTCTAACCCTGGGAACTGCCCAGTTAACTACTGGTAGACATGTCGGTTTCTTAGAGCTGTGGCTGCTGTGAATATTGCCCACCTGCCTTACTGCTTTCCTTTTGAGCTGCTGCAGTGCAGCCTGTGGAAGAGGTGTGTCCTTCCAGGATGAGAGCTGTGGTGTCCAGGGGAGTGGGGAGGAGATGCCAGGGCTTGTGGTGAAGAGCCTCAACCAGGTCCTGAGGTTGGGAGAAGGTTTTCTCTACCTCTAGCCCGACTTCTGGGGCTGTGTGGAGGTGCCACTTTGTCTGGAGCCTGCTGGAGCAGGCTGTCTCCCAAAAGAAACCAGGTCGCTCATGGGCTGAAACTCAGCTTTGATGCTGTCATGGTGAGGACCTGCGACTTCACTTCTCTCTGTGCTGGTGGTGTGGTCCTGCTGACAGACTGCAAATGTCCTGTCTCCTTTTGGCTATGGGCCTGGGCTGCTTTTGGGTGAGATGATCCTATTAAGTAGCGGGGGGGGGGGGGGGAAAGGGACTTTGTCCTTCAAGCTTTGTCCTGCAGGTTTCGTTCCTCTGCAGGAGTCTGTGCTGAACAGCTTTTGGGGGAGGTGTGAGAATATGGTGCTCATGTTGTTTTTTTGAGGCTAAACAGTGTAAATGCTAGCCCTGTAGAGAGGAAGCAGCCTGGCTGCGTAAGGGTCTCTGTAGAGGAGACTGCTTACCCGTGTGGTTCTCGCACAGGAAGCTTGCAGAGCACCTTGAGAAGCAGCACACGGCAGTGCCTGCTTGAGCTCCGGGAGTATTACAAGATCAGTGCTGCCATAGCAGCTGTTAGAGGTACAAAGAGACACTTGGGACCATTCTTCCAATTTAGATATGCCGATAGCTGTCTCCTCTTCCTTTGCCAGCTGCTAGAGCAGAGAGGAGGCTCTTTCATTCTCCTGGATGCGTTGCTGGTCTTCTCCCTAGCACCTGCAAGGCATCCCTGCTGTTCTTGGCAGCATGCATCCACAACGGGCTCCAGGGCAGGGCCACCACTAAAGCTTGAGAGCTCCTGGAAGGTGTTACCTTCCCCTCTGCCACCTTCAGGCATCTGGGCAACAGCAGTGAGGCTGCCCGGGGCTTCTTGGTTTCACATTGCTGCTTGGATCTGCTGATTTGGAGGTTTGCAGAATGTGGAAGTCTGATGTGCGACCCCTTTATGGATGTCTTTCATTCACTTCAATAGAAAAACGGGGAGCGTTATAGCTCCCTTCACTAATAGAGTTAAAGCAGAGCTTGAGCAAATACAGCAGGCAGACGATCTTGGACAAGAAATCCTGGCTGTTAGTGCATACGGTTGCTAGCATGTGGAGTTGGGAAAGCCACCAGCCAGATGCGATCCTCAGCTGAGCTTTTCCTGTAAGCTTAAAAGCTAGGGATGTAGAGTATTTTTACTAATGACTATTCTGAATATGTTCATGTCCTCAGCAATGCATATATATGTCCTTGCATGGAAGTCTGGCTGGCTCAGAGGGATCTACCACCTGCAGTAGGAAGAAATGATGTTACCATAAACATACAGTCAGGTTAAAGGGAGGATGAGAATGCTGTTAAACAGTGTCCCGGAGCTCAGTTATCTGCATTTTCTGTTCTTATCAATTATGTATATGTCGACTAGCCTAGAAATGGGATGCTGGAAGTTCATATAGCAACACCATTACTGAATGCTAAAACTGCATCCAGACTTTTTTAGAGCAGCTTGCAAGGAGGCAGCTTCAGAGTGGACACTGAAAACTTGTGTGTTTTCTCTCCTTACAGGAAACAGTGAGTGGGCTGCAGAAATAAACAGAATCTTTGCTTTGTATCTCTTGCAGCTTTTGTAAAAAGGAAGATCACAACAAAGAGAATCTCTTTAACAGCCTGAACTATGATGTTGCTGCCAAGAAGAGGAAAAAAGACCTGCTGAATAACAAAGCCAAGATCCAATGTAAGATGTCTGTTAGGGTGTTTTTTTTAAAAAGTTGTTGCAGGAGGAGGATGGAAAACACTTCAGACCTATGGGTTTTGCACAGCATAGGAGATGCCTTCCAGAGTATCTTGAAGGGCTTTGTGCCCATGTTTGACCTAAGTACAGAACTTGGATACAGTTTAATGTGAAGATTTATGCCCCTGTTAGTAATCCCTGCTTTGAGGAGTTGTGCTTGTTGTGTTCGAACTTGTCATTTGTATTTGTCAGAAGGAGGGTAATTTTTTCCTATAGTACATTCAGATGAACCAGTTCCAGTTTTTCCCCTGAATATTTCCTTGTGCTCAGCAGACTAAATTTATTCTTCCTTCCATGTGCATGTTGAGTACAAATCAACGTTACTGGAGGCTACAAGCCTGAACGTGAGCTTTGATCCCGTCTCTGCGCAAAGTGCATGAAAAATGAAATAAGGTTTGAGCTCGCCCAAAACAATGGAGGGTTTGAAGTTTTTCTGTATACACAGCAAGCAGCTGAGGTCTCAGCGTTTTGTGGGAGCCCACAGGGACAGCAAGGTCTGCGTTGATCTGATTGCAGGATGGGTACCCAAGTTAATAGACATGAAGGCTACAAATGTAAACATACGCAGAGGAAACGAGTTAAGATTCCCACACTAGTATTAGCTCATTGTACATCCCCCCAGGATTTGAGAAACTGATGCCAAAATCTGGCCCCTCTGTGCATTTGGTTCACTCTGTGAACAAACAACTGTTACCATGACAGTTCCTGGCTGGATTCTAACTTGACCTACTTGTTTAAAAGGGTCTCATGCAGAAGCTATATGCCTGTATGACTGGATTCAGCCCCTGCGCTGCTGTTACCATGCGGAAGTACATCACTGCATCTTTAGGTGGAAAAAGACTACAGGAGCACGATATCTCCTTTAAGGAAAAGAGTTGCAGGATGGGAGAGTTCTTTTTTCATGCTGGCTGTTGAATTGCCGGTGCAGAGTTAAGCAAGGGTCTTAGCCCATATGTGAGTGGGGTGGAAAAAATTAAGCAGAATAAAATTGCTGCTACAGAAAGGACAAACTGAGCAGCGTGTGGTGGGTGCAGGGAAGTTATTCTGTGGAGTGGATGGGGCTGAATCTTCCTCCTGAGGGAAGGGAGGGGAGGTTAGAAATATGGAAGACTTTGGTCCTAGGTAGATTTTTCTTTTTTGGAAAGTTAGCTGCAAGCACAAGCTTGCTCCTCTGAGCCTGACCTCACTGCTAAAAGCTCTCCCACGTGCCTGGTGTCTCATGACATTTTTGCTCAACTTCAGATTTGACATTCAATCCCAAGCCTGTTACCAAGGTAATGAATAGTTAATAAAAATCAATAACAACAAAACCTGGCTGTCAGCCACACTTACCCCCTAGGACCAAAGAGGAGGTGCTATGGTATATCTGCAACTGACAGATAAAACATTCAGTCTTGAGCTGTGTCACTGAAACAAAAGCCTTCTAAGGCTCAGGGCCGCTGTCTCAGCTGAAGCAGTATGGAAACAAAGCAGCTCCGCAAGTTGCTAGTTTGGATTTCAGGTGCAATGGTATAAACCCATAATACTTTTAGTGGTGCTAAAAGGGCAGTAATGTGAGAGCAGAACAGACACCCAGCCTTCTGTAAAATAAGGGATTAACTGAGTAAAATGTCTGTCTAACAGATTTCCACCAAGAGAAGTGGATCTATGTTCACAAGGGGAGCACAAAAGAGGTGAGTGCCAGTGTAGGTCATCTTTGTTTCCTTTTTGTTCTGTTTTTCCAAGCAGTGGAAGATGCTAGGCTCTTATAAATCAGCAGAGGCTCTTGAGATAAGTGGAAGATCTGGCTTGTGGTTGGAATCACAGTAATGATTTTAAGCCCTAATCAGGGAGCCAGAACTTGCTGTGCAAGGCTCTGTACATGTGTTTAAAATATGACTTGTTTGCTTCCCTCTGTTTAAAAAAAAAAAGCAACTGCAGCCCAAGCCATAATACTGTTCTTGGCTTTCACCCAGTACAGTCCTAACACAGAAAATCATTGGAATTCACCACAATGGCTAAGCTGCGCTCGTGGAGAGAAGCAGTCGTAAGAAGCTGCTCTTTGTGAACTTGCGCTATATATTGAGCCCTAGGAATGTGTTGCTCATTCTGCCTCGTAAATTCTGGAGGGATGGAGTTGAGCTATCTAAGGGTCATAAACAGAGCTTGGATCACTTTTGGGAAACAACCACAACCTCCATTGGACTGTGCTCAGTGGTGACGTCAATAGGCGCAGTTGCACTGGAGATGGGCTTGCCTCCTCCACCTCGAGCTAGTTCCATGATATGTACCCATTAGCTTGCTAAATTGAGTTGCCCTGGGTCACGTCTCCCTGGTGCTGTCTGGATTTATGTATGCCAAAACATGACCCAGTCTTTTTCTTCTCAGCGCCATGGTTACTGTACTTTGGGAGAAGCTTTCAACAGACTTGACTTCTCAAGTGCTATCCTAGACTCCAGACGATTCAACTACGTTGTGAGGGTGAGTGTACGCAAGAATTTATTTTGCTGTGACGGTGGTGGAGACTTGAAACTGAGCACAAGTTGGTGATGGAAGCACTAGTAAAAATTTTAAGCGAGGTCCATGCTGGCAGGTAGAGGGTGTTGAACTTTGTGAATAAAGTAATTGATGAATTTTGTGGGCACACCCCAAATACCTGCTCTTGGATCTGTTAAAATGGAGAGGCAGGGAAGTGGTGGTGATGTAGAAGATGACTTGTCTTTATCCTAGCATTCCTGGTCATGAAGCTCATGTTTGAAAAAGCAAAGCAGAAGTTACTGTTTCTTATTTCTGGTTTTCCGGTTGAGCTTCTAAATGCAACTTCTGCAGTCCCAAAAGGATAATGGGAACCTCTGCGCAGACTGTAGTGCAGAGGGGCCCTCTCTTTGCATGGGAAGCCAGCATGGCTTTGAGTGCCATGAGACTTGCTACCTGTGAAGTGATACAGAAGAAACTTGAGCCAAGTGTGCTGGGAGTGAAAAGTTAGTCTGAACCTTCTGGAGTCCCCTGATCTGAACTTCTGTCAAAGATTGAGGTTGCTTTTAATGTTGTCTGACTGGCCGTGGTTTCAGTGGGCGAAGTCTTCCGTTAGCCCTGACAGTTCTGTAGGAAAGAGTTGGGGAACCGTGACAAACTCAGTGCTTACGTGCTATGCCTTTGCATAGCAGCTTAGGGCTTTACGTTCAGCTAAGGATGATCAAAGGGTGGTAGTGTTCACAGGTATTTGTTATCACAAGGTCTGAGGCTGCTAGTATGTTTATGTACATGTGATCTGCAAATTGATCTCAAATTTCAGAATGCTTATCAAGGCTTGGAATTCAATAAGCTTAAAAATCTGCTATTAACTTGAGGCTGTTTATAAACAGCTCCTTTGCACATTTCATCAGCAGTTAATCACTGGTGAGGCACCAGCTGTTTAGGTTTTAGGTTCTGGAGCAAGTGACACTGGTATTGCTTTCCCAGTGCTGAGTTAAATGTCATGAAGAGTCTGCAAAGAAAGAAATGATCTGAGCAGGTTCACCTTGGTTTGCTCCCCTCACCTGTTTGGTCAAGCCTAGGTCAGGCAGATGGATCCCATGAAAGCCTCTAGCATGCTGGGTAGGGCACAGGCCTCCTGGGTGATTTACTGCCTGCTGCGTAGCAAGGACACTGATGGCTTGGACGTAGTGCTGCAGGGGTGGTGGGAGGCAGCGGGGATGCTGTAGGAAGCACAGAATACGAATCCACAAACTCGGGCTTCCCTAGCTCTGCTGGTCCTGGAACAATTTGTATCCCGCTTGCAAAGAGAAGATGGTCATCAGGACTGAGATGCTTAGTGTTTTTTGATACTGGATATATATGCAGCCTTTGTGGGGGGGGAGGGGGGATTATTTTGGAAAATCATAGCTATAAAAGGCTATTCCTTGCCTTGTATTTGATTGACTTAAAATAGAACTTGTATTTGGCTCTCCAGAGTTTTCCTGGGAATTTTTCCTGGTCAAAAGGTGGAAGATCTGCCAAGGGCCTCTGCACATTCTAGCCTCAGGTCAGACTCTGCCATGTGATCGGCCTGGTACTCCGTCTGACACGATGGCGTCTTGTGCAGGACTGCAAGGATCCTGCAAGCATTCCTGTTGAATTTTTTTGATGAGCAGACTCAGTTTGCAATGGAGTTGGTGCAGTCTATTGAAGAGGGGCCTCTCAGAGGTTGACTATCATCTGCTTTTTTTCCCCTTTGAGGATCAGTATAAAAGGGTGGGAGAAGGGAGTTTAGAGGAAATGGAAATCAAGGTTTGAGCGTAAAAATAGCTTCTCCATAACTTGAAACAATTACTGAGATTTCGGCTTGGCCTTTCTTTGTCAGTGAGTTTGATCCATGGGGTTTAAGGACTTCTGAAGGAAGAGGGGAAACAGATAATTCTCAGTTTCAGGCTTATTGCTCCCTGTTACGCATCAAAAGTAGCAGTATACTGTATGAAAGTTAGCCTGTAGCCTTGTTCCTGCAAATTACCTCTCTGAGCTTTTAAGACTCTCTCTCTCTCCTTCCAGGAGTTTTAAGGATATAGCACAGCTGAGAAGTATAAAGCTTTCTAATTGAGGCTGACTTGTGTGGTTTGGCAGATAAAAAAAGATATTAAACCTGGTACTGTGGATCAAATATAAAACTGACTACTTAAATGAAAAGGTTGTATCAGCCAAGTCTCTGGTGGATAGTAGCTCATAAAATACTTTATGTGCCAGATTTGCTCACGGAAAGCTCTGCCTCGATGTCAATCTTGTTTATGGTCCTTTGCAAATCACAGGCCTCCTAGAGCACACAGATGAGCAGTCTGTCACATGGAAAATGCCTTGAATATTAGCAGGCAAAATTTTTTTCCTCCTTCCTTGTTCTACCCTCCTAGTTCCACCCATTGCTCAGAGTGTCTGAGCAATGTCATAGTATTTAGTCAGCAAACAAATCTCCAAGGAGGAGAGTTTAGAGTAGGGGCAGAGAAAGAGTAGGCGGGTGACCATAGAGAAAGAAGAGATAGAAGCAGCTACGAGCTTATGATTCTTCAGGTTACACCCAATCTTTCTTTATAGAAAAGCAAGTTACCAGTATATTACCTCTGATAACAAAGTGGACTTTCAGGCTGAACAACTTGTCCATGCAGTGCCTTTCTTGTGGCGTTACTGTGACTATCTCTGAACATAAGCCTGGTAGTGATTTCAGCACTGTTTTTCCTGTGGTGCAGAAGTCTAAGATATTCTCAAACCAAATTCTTAGTTCCTGACAGTGTGCTTTCCTGTTATAAAAGGGACACGTCATCTTTGAGGTGGAGGTGTAAGCTGCAAGAATTTCAAGTGTTTTACAAGCAAATACGTATTTCATCAGCTATAGTCAGTGAGTTCATGCCACTGAAGTGGGAAAATTTTCTTCCAACATCGATCTTGACAGTCTGCTGATACAGCAGTGGAAGTGTGAAGCAGAGGTATTAGTGCTTCAGCCTGGTCCTTGTGGATTGCCTTAGCTGTAGCGTCTGCCTACATGTTACAGGAAAGTTTTCAGTTTTTGGAGCAGATTGACCCGGTGGATCCAAACTGTTCTCAGGCTTGAAGCAGTCCTACTTCTTCTGGTCCTAAAGATTAAAAGACGAAGTGTTCTGTGAGCATAAGTACAATGAGCAGACATGTAAATGCTTGCAGCCCAAAAGTTGTTGGTTTTCCTTAGAAATCTCTGCTCAAATGACAGGTGAGGTCTTGCAGGCTGCTTCTTTCAGAAGGATTTGTCACATGATGGCTATGTAATAACTCAAAGGGAAGGTCCTGTTTCTGCTCGTAAAAGCTTAAGTCAAATTAAGCTGTATGGGCACAGCTCTTCTGGAATAACATGATCTGGACAGTGGACAGCCTGCTGAAATAGGGTCTTAAATTTATTTTTTAAGGTTCTATTGCGCTTAGCTCCAAGAGTCCCGGAGCTATGCTGTGCTGAAAGAATATCAGGTCAGTGTTGTCTCATGAAGATCTGTCCGTGCCTGCACCATGAATCATTAACTTATTTCTACCTCCTGGCTGAAAAACTAGTCTGTCACAAAATGCCACAAAATAACATGATAAGCTGTGAGTTCAGGAGGGTTTGGGACACTTTCATTGCAGTAGGTTTGTCCTGGCAGTTCAGATGTTAAGAGCCAGTCCCCCAGTGGGGAGGAGTTGGTGGATCCCTGCAGGAGGCAGCCTAGGTTACACAGATGTAGGTATTCAAATGTGGATTCACTGTCAGTAGTTTGGGGCTTATGCTCTTTATTGTTATAAAGCATTGCCCTCTGAGGCATGGTTAGCCCTCCTGCTCACTGCAACCCACAGGCCTGCAGAAAAGCTTTTGTGGCTCCTTGTGCTGTAAGCTCCTAGCTATGGGTTGTTTGGGATATGGATTAACTGCGCACCACTGTACTGGGACAGCTGCAGAAAGCACCATCTGCCTATAGCATATCTAAGTGGTGCTGGACACAGCAGTCACCAGGGCAGAGCAGCATGTTTTGTGGTCCTGAAACACAGGTCCTCAGTCCCTGATGCATGTTGCTCCTTCCTTTCTCTTTAATTTCTTGTGCTCTTATGGGGGGGGGGGGTAGGAGGACCTGTTGCACTCCCAAAGCTAAGCAGCTCCTTGCTCTATCTGCTCTAAACTGATTGCTAGTTCCCCTTCTTCCAGCTGCATAGATATCCAGGAGTATCTCTCTGCTCTGAAGTCCCACAGCACCGAGACATCAGGGAATTGAGCTGGTTTTGCCCTGCTGGGTAAGCTGACTGCCTTTTGCCAGCTTTGCAGAAGCTCTGGAGTAACGCACACCATCTCATCCTGTCTCTTCTCCTTGGCTGTTGCAGTCCCCTCAACAAATGACATGGGGGCAAGGAAGCAAGAAGGATTGTTCTGGGGAAGTTACTGGGTCACTTTTTTCCCTGCTTCTGAGGAGTTCAAAGAATAGATAGGGAACTCATGCCCTATTTTTCAGGCAGATTCCCAGCTCCAATTAAAATCAGCTGGAATGCAATTACTTACCCTTTTGGAAAGGCAGACCTTTTAAAATTACTGTTAACCTTTCCCTTTGCACTCTCTTACCATGTGTCCCTCAGTCAAGCGCAGGCTGTACATAATGCACCTGCACCGTAATGCAGTGTTGCAGCTCTAGCCTTTTTACCCTACTCGGCATTAATCTGAATGCATCAGTCTGCGTTTAGTCTGTGTTCTGCAAATGACAACACTGACTTTTTATAATGCTGTAGACCCAAATTTAGCAGTCTATTAAACGTGAGACCATACTTTGCTGGGTTTATCGCCACTAAAAGACCTTCAGTGCAGTGGAGTGCTTGGGGCCAGATGGGTCTGAGCCTGACTGAGCCATATCACTTACTGCTTTTACATGTCTTGTATATGAGCACACAAGAATAAAAAGATGTGTTTTGGTTTGGAGGGTTGGCCATCCATTTCAGCCAGCCGCCCCTGGGGAGTGGAATAGTCCCAGAAGTATTCACAACATAGTTTTCATATGGAATTTCATCCTGTGTTATTGCTGCAGGGGAAGGGAGGTAACACATGACATCTGAGCTGGTTCACCGAACATAAATCGAACCTTGATAAACACAGACAAGACAAATTTGAATCTGTTCTCTTGGCTAACTTAATTTCATACCCATTTAACATTCTTCAAGGAACTGAGATGATTATCCTTTTTCCTCTTAAAGAATGTCCCTAGCATCTGGTTTTTGTGATATTGCATTACATGATGCATATCCTTTGGGAGCATTTTAGTGTTTTCAGTGATGGGCACAGCATTGCTACCACTGCCTAGAGGAAGCAGTCTCCATGCCTGTTCTAGGATAACAGTGCGATCTAGAGGCAGCAGTTTAAGCACAGAAGAGCTTATCTGGTGCTTCTATAGCTACTGTACAGATGGAGTCTGGCAAGTTGATCCTTATAATCAAAGGTATCATGGCTGTATACAAGCAGAGTATTACAGAGACTATTTTGGGCCACTGGCTATTTTCTACTTCCACCTTCAGTATTTTGTGAAATTAGAAAAAGACTTAAACATCTTGTGAACTGTCTTGTGCTTAGGGCTGTCTAGTCCTTGTAGTCTCAGTTTAGCTGAGAGGCATCAGTAGGTTGTCTTGCTATGTGCAGCAAATACTACCTGACTCTTCTGCATATCTTATTTCTCCCAAATAGTGAGTCAAGAAAACAGGCAGCCTGCCCTTCGCAGAAGTGTTAATGTAGGCCTTCATCTTATTTTCTTTCAGTCACATGAGGTGCAAGATATTAATAGAACAAACTCAAAGCCATCTGTTGATGGCGTTGGTCTGGAAAGTAAACGGAAGAAGAGATGGGTCACTCTAGGCAAGTTTATTGCTCCTAACTGACAGTCACATGCTAGTGACTGAGCAGAATGGGCAAATGGTTGCAATAATACCTCTTCTCTGAGCTCCCTGCTTTATGGCAAGCTGCCGGCAACTTTATGGATACATTCCTGTCATTCTTATAACAGGGCAAACAGGTCAGCTCATGACTTATCAACTCTTGTCAAAAACCATCTTAGTTGCTTGACACAAGTACTTGCACCTTCTCTGTGCTCAGCAGTGCCAGCAAAGGGATACCATAACTACAGGTGATAAAGGATTAATAAGCTAGTCATGTGGTAATGTGTTGATTGATTTGTAGCATAAAAGGTTTTTCTTTTCCCTTCTAAATTAAAACAGAAGGGTGTGTACATCCAAAACAAATGGAATAACATGTGGACTGTCTGTGTATTTATATAATGCTGGGGGAAGGGAGGAAGTGAGAAAGGCTTGAAAGATCACGGACCACATGTTCTGCAGAACATGATCCAGAGGAAAGCTTGCATGGTGGTTCTTGTGGCAGCCCAAAGCCAGGGGAAAGGGTATCTTCCCCTTGGGAAATGCTTCCTTTAGTAACTGCAACCCAAATTCAGCATGCAGCTAGTGCATAACTCAGATCACAGTGACAGGAAGCAAGTCGTAATTGAAAGTAAAAGTGAGATTTCCATTAGGGAAGATTAACATATAAACAAGGACAAATGGTGAAAGGTGAATGGGGTGAATGGTTTGGTATTGTTACAGCTGTAACAGCTGGACAGAGGAGGAAATATTGGAATATTTTTTAATGGGAGGGCTTGGTTTTTAAAATATAGTTCTCAACCTTTCGGTCTTGGTGACAGTGCCCTGACAAAACCCATGCAACCCAAGAGTTTGACGTAAATCATGGAATCTGATTCTCATTTGTGCCCCATCAATAATATCCCTATCCAAACAGGAATTTGCTTGTGTTCCCTTATGACACTACTTGTTTATGTACCAGTGAAGGACAGTGACGTCTACCATTCATTGTTCCCTCAGTGTGAATAGGCACTGTCAGCTGAGCGCTGCTCTGTGGTTTCTCTACATCTTTGAACCATGAAAAAAGTTTCTGCCTAAAAATCCTCATTAGAATGCCTCTTATTCCTCCCCCCCACACACACACACTTTTCAATGTGGATTTAATTATTTTGCCTCTGTTCTCTCTCCTTTTGCACTGGCTTGCTCTCTGGCTGGGTCTACCTTTTATTTTCAAGCAGCAAACAAGTATCTGAACTGTTTTGCTGTGTCACATGACTAGGAGTCAAGATTAGAAACTTATCTCTCCACTCTAAGCCTTGCAACTTCTATTTTTATCTGCAGCTGTTGGAGCTGATAGCAAAGTCTCAGCTGACGTCACTGAGTGGCATTGCCCAGAAGAACTACATGAACATTTTGGAAAAAGTGGTGCAGAAAGGTAAGGAATGGAAATCCAAGGGTGGAAGAGGTTCACTTAATCTGATGTTCTTATTTACGAACCACATCCTCAAGAACAGGCAGTGCAAGATAAGGGTGAAGAGGAGGCACTAACATTTATTTCTGTAGTTGAAATCCACTTTATTTTTCCGGAGTGAAGGACTAAGAAGGAAAGAGTGAGAAGACACGTTTGTATTTTCATAGGTGTCCAGGAGACAATTCCTTGTTTTATTTCCCTTACTACGCATTCTGCATCCTACTGACAATCCAGTCTAGCTGCAGCAGACATTGCAGTTTCTGCTTCCATGCCTAGCAGATAGTCTCTGCTGCTCCCTTGTCTCCAGCTTGCTTATATCAAGTACTGCAACTCCTCTAGGGGAAAGGAAAGCTTGAAGGTTGCCTTCACCTCCTTTGGGGGTCTCAGGGGGCTGACTTGCAGTCAAGATGTGTTGCTTCCCTCCTGATGCTTTAGCTCTGGGTGAACCCTAGCTGTAGGTTTTGAGAGCACCTCTGTGTGTGCATGCGTACAAAGGAGGAGATCCTGAGCTGTCTCTTCATCAGCTGTCATCGGTAGGGTAAATGGAGGAAGAAGTGTGCATAGATAACCTCTCAAACATTGGAGGGCAAAGCTGGCCAATCTCCAGAGGCTAGAAATGGGAAGTACTGTGGAAAGGGCAAGTATCTCCTCTGTTTATCCTGGGAGAGGATCTGTTTATCTGCTATCTAACCTGTTGTGCCTAAAAGCCCAGGTTTACTGTCTCTTGGCCTGAGATAATAGCAGGTAACTTGATTTCCCCCAGAAATGGGTTCAGAACAAGCGCTTGGGCAGGTCCCACTTTTAACCCTTTCTCTTCCTCCAAAGTTCTTGAAGATCAGCAGAACATCAGACTAATAAGGGAATTGCTGCAGACTCTCTACACATCCCTCTGCACCTTGGTTCAACGGGTTGGCAAGTCTGTGCTGGTTGGAAACATCAACATGTGGGTGCACAGGATGGAGACTATTCTCCACTGGCAGCAGCAGCTGAACAACATTCAAATCACCAGGGTAAGCATGAATCTGAAGGCAAAAAAGAGCAAGCTCCTTCATGAAACCTTGTGTAGCAACTCTCATTTGGGTGGCTTCATTCCATTGTGTACTTCCAGTGTAAACACAGTGCTAGGGAAGGAACCGGTGTTGCCAGAATACGTGGTTCCCTTGTTGGTACTGCCTGTGTCCTTTGGTTCAAAATCAGCAGTAGCTCTTAACAGTTTTCTTAAAGGTGTTAACAGTCAGATGCTTTACCAGCTCAGCCTATGCAATCCAGGATCAGACAACTACTGGTTACAGACTGTGGCTCAACTCCTACATGGCCATGGAGTGTTATATGAACAGAGCTGGGCAGGAAACAATCTCCTTCCTGCAGAGTCTTCAGAGATCAGGCCTTAGTACAAAAAGTTGATTTGGAATCTCAAACTGAGAAGTTCCCCTCAAAATCTGTTAGTTTTTCTTTTGTTTGTTCAATCTGTAAGTTAAGTGCAAACTGCTGATAGCTGCATAATTTAATGCTTTCTGACTGAAAACACCAATGATTCTTCCAATAGTCTGGAGCTGGCTGCTTCATCCAGACAAGCCCTGCTTTCACAACGTCTGTTTTCCCAACAAAGTCTGTGGGGATGGGCAAGAGACGTTAGTTCATAAATGCCTAACCTGGCCTTTGTGTGAATCAAATCAGAACTTGGTCCACTTCACCTTGAACAGATGCTTACACTACAAAAAGTTGTTGGTAATCTCAGAATCTGAGCTGAACTGA